GAGATGTGGTTAACTCTAAAACAATTCAATGAATCGTAGACAACTAGCACTTGTTACTATTTCTCTTCGCTCCACAGAAATATAAATGAGCAGATAATAGCAGCCAAGGATCTATATCTTTTATACGCATCATAGGATTTTAGAAATTGATCTTGGGAAAAAAAAAAAAATATCCTCCATCTGTGAAAAAGACATCAATTACCCATAACACACCAAATAGTACTGAAAGCTACAAGAGATAAGACGCTTTGCAACATAATTCCCAGTATTTTTTTTTCTCAATATATTAGAAAAAAGAGTGAATAAGCAAACAGCATCCATCTCAAACATAACTTTGCAACAATGATACCTTCTTCATGCGGGTTCTGACTTCGGATTTCTTAGATTTGTTGTAAATGCGCCTTTTCTCAGCTTGACGGGCTCTTTTTGCAGCTGAATCAGCTTTCTTCGTTGGAGCTGCCTCGCAGACAACTGAATGATGAATTGGCCTCTGGATTGTGCTCATTGTCAAAGACCCTAAATCCACAACACACAAGGAAATTCACTCAAAAGCATCCAACCAAACTAATTGAGTTATTTTGGTTATTAAAAGACTCAAATATGACCGAACTACTTGTGAAATGGGGTTCGCATAAATCAAATTTAACATTTTTCTCTAGAATCAACTCCACCGACCAAACAAAGGACCTCGTAAACAAAATTTAGCGTCTTTGTCATAAAAAAACCCAACTTTATTCAACGACAACAACTACCGCACTAAACTGAAATGAGTTTTTCTTATTGCAAATACCTTAAACCCCGGAATTGAAACAGCAGTATCCAACATTATCTCAAGCATTTTCTTGCAAACCAAACAGAAACAAGAAAAAGAACAAAAAAGAGCGAAATAAAGAGATGGGCGTGTAGAGTTATAAGACATTACCTTTGGAGAAGAGATTGGGAGAGAGGTTGGAGGAGAAGCTGAGAGAGGTGAAAGGGGCCAAGTTTGAGTGATGACTAGAAGAGTTGTTGTTTAGTGAAAGGGTTTTGAATTTCGACTGAATGTTCAAACAAGAAGAAGATAAGCAGTGGATTGCACTTGCCATCTCTTCGGGATTTGATTTCGCTTTGCTTTGCTTTGCTTTGCCTTGTTTTTGTTTATCCACTCAAGAAAGGTGGGAATGGGCTGGACGGTGATTCTGAAAGTAGTTTTATCTCATCCTTATCAGAAAACGACTTGTCGTTTCAATATTCAAGATTTCCGCTACGACATGTCGTTTCAACACGCTGGAACGATTTATCCTTTTAAATCATTGGTCTAACAGCACCTCCAAAGCACTCTTTATATGATCCAAATTCTTTATTATAAAAAGTTTATTCATGAAAATAAGAGTCCAACAGACTCTTTATCTTTAAAATATAAATTAGAGAGTGTAATTTGACTCTCTACATTTAGAGAGTCAAATTTCACTCTCTATCCTAATTTTAATTAATAAACTACAAGTTGCTATGCATTTTATTTATTAATTCTCTCTCTCATTAAGTCTTTTTTCTTAAAAATAAAGAGCATCTTCATTAAATTTAAAGAGTCTATTGGATTTGAATAGAAATTGTGTTCTTTATATTTAAAAATTAATGAATATACTCTTTATTTATATGAAAGATGTTTTTCAAAATAAAAAACACCAGTGGAGACCAATGTCAAAAATTGCTTTACATCCACTGTTTTTATCAATTTCAGTGATATATCCAATTAACGGTTTAATTAATGCTCTCTTATTTTCGCCCACAAACTTTTAAAATATGACTTTATTACTCAAATTTATATACCACTGACAAACTAAAAACAAACTCGTTTCAAATTGTTGAAGCTTAAAAAGGAAGACCGATGAGTCTTTTGTTGGTAAAATGTTAAATTTTAATTGTTGAGATTGATCAAAATTTGAAGTTGAGATTTCAATGGTTGAGATTGACCGAAATTTGATTTAAAAGTTCAAAAGAAACAACTGTGTAAACCCTAATCGCTTGATATTAACAATTGATGTAGTCAACGAAAATAAAGTTTGAAAGATCTTGATAAATGATGATTAGAGAAGAGTATGATAGTAGAGCAAAAAATCGAAAATAGAATATAAAATTAGATAATAAAATCATATTTTAAAAATGTGTAGATGTAACATTAAGCTATTATTTAAGTGAAAAAAAAGTCGTTTGCTTCTAAAATATAAAGCATTAAGAAAGCTATTGTGTATCTTCATTATCAATTTTTCCTCATCTTGTTCAATTTTATAATAAAAAAGAGTTCATTTTGAACTCATTTCTCTAACAGTCAACCTTTCCAAAAATTTCATCCCTCAAAATTTCCGTTCTTAAATTTTCAAAAATCTTCAACTACGAATGAGTTTTTCCCATATTAAGTGATGGCTGAACCACATTCTTCTCAGCACTGTTTCCGCAAGAGATATCAGTTTAGTCTAGAAATGTTTCTGCACACTGAATGTCAACCAAGAGGTGGAAATCCCAAATTGTACACACAAAAATTTATAAAGGCCGTGCAGTTCAGAGTCAACCTAGAAGAAGATATAGAATCTAAAATCTATCGGCTGTCATCACCACAGGTTGTGTTTCATATTGCTTTCTCGCGAGATATGGACCCCTTCTCACAGCTTCCTCCAACTACACAAGCATATTTCATTGTCAACGAGGGGAGACGAGAAAAGTAGGGTAAAGATCACCAGAATTACATTAAAGAGAGATCTAACCTTTCCAGCTATCCCAGCAAGAGTAGGGTCACCGATGAGTTTACTTGATATGAAAGCCTTATGGATGGCCTTGCAACAATTGTATCTAGCTTCCATACCTTAAATTTTTTCAGTGAACTATTGTCAATGGAGAAGGATAGAGAAGAAAGACTTGCAACTCTAAGCGTGATGAAATAAGTGCGTTTAGAGCTTCTTCTTTTTTTCTTTTTGCCATGTACCCTATCCCACCCCTCCCCAAGCACAAACATAAAATTAAATTGAATCCTGCCAGCGACCTATTCGTCACCTTCAGTCAAAACCGATTATGTCTAATCCAAATTCCCTTTTTCCAGGTTAACAAACAGTGATTGGA